GTGCAGGAGCAGTGGTAATCTGAGGATTAGGTCTTTTCTAGCTTTTGCAACCCCTGCTGTACTTCAGCTTCTGTCTTGAACACAACCTTCAGTAGAGCTTTCAGCACTGATACCGAGAAGTGCAGATCTGGGAATCAGCAAAAAGGCAGGTATGAAACAGTCAAATAGCTGGGGAGAGCAGAGATTAAACTAAAGAGGACTGCTCAGGACTTTGCTGTTTTTCATAGACCTGTTACTTTTTTGTACTTTTGAAGAGTAAGGTCTGTGAATTTAAGAAATTCTTTTACTAAGCCAGTGAATGTTTGTTTTACTTCCACATTGTTCCTGAAGAGCTTAAGTAGAAAACAGGGTTCCTACAGCCACATGGAGTTTAAGCAGGTGGGAGCTCAGTCACTCTGAGGCACTTGTTCTAAAATCCTGGCGGCTGGACTGCAGGTTCCCATCACCCAAAAAAGGCTGACATGGGGTCTACACTGGTTCTTACATCTGAAATACTCAGAACTAGGAGGCATCAACTTAGCACAGATCCTGGGAGAAGGGCAGCACATAAACTGGCCCCCACAACAACAGACTGGAGTATGCTACGTTTATTGGAAGGGTCTAGGTGGGGCAGGGGTTTGTGGGAGCATCGTGAATGTTGCTTTTAAACAATCCATTCTTATTTCTCTCTGGCCCATCTCTACAAAAAGTCAAGCTAATCAACCACACCAAATGGCTGAACAGCCCTTGGGTCTATATAACAACCTACAGAGACATTTTCTAGCATTTGTCCAGGGCCATCTGCTCTCACAGCCAAAGCCAGCCTGGCTGACCTGTCACACCTCCTGAAAGTACAGTTCTGCTCTAAAAAGCACCTCTGCACAAATGGCAGCTTCTTAATAATCAGAGCTTTCCTTCCTCCTCTATCCCTCATTTCCGGTGGTGCCCAGGATCAGAGGAGCAGAATGAAGTGGCAAAAATAAATTATTTTCTCTTTCTTCTTCCTTGGATCCTACAAAGCCACCCTGGCCACAGGAGAGGGTCCTATAGTCTGCCTCCTGTAGACCTTGCAGATTTGACGCAACCAAAGGGAAGGATCTGGAGTCTATTCTGGCTCATGCATTAGCATAATTGCACCTCCGGGCTGATATCTCCCTTCAGTGACACTTGTGCAACCCAAGTGCCCTCAATGGGCAGTCACTGAGGAAATAACCAAAGGCCAAGAGATATGCCCCATTCAGTGCTCAAGTTCTAACTCATCAGCATTGCACTGACATAATGACAAAGCCACAAGTTCCAGCTGGGTCTTCTGAGAATTGCTTAAGTGTGAAGCTCCCCACTCTGGGTAGCTCAGGAGTAGCTGCAGGCAGGATTTGGAATCTTTGGCCATGACGGCAGAAAAAGTATTGTCTGGCCCCGAGTTGTGGCTAATTCTGATGGGCTGCCAGCTTAACACCTTTTTTTCCCCTGTATACAGTACGCTTGTTATGGAGTCACTGAGAAATAAGCACAGAGTCTGCTATTCCATTATTGTGTTTTCAAGCAGATCCACATTTAAAATCACAGCCATGGCCTTCTTATGCAGGGAGAGAGAAGGCAACAGGCAAGTCCTTGTGCCCTACACTGACCTCCTGGCAACTCTTCCACATAAGATTAAGACAAGGTCAAATATTAACACTAAGCCACTCATGTGATCACACTCAGGTCAAGCTGGTTAAATGGTGGCCTAACCCTGGGGAATGCACTGCTGCATAGGGTATGTGACCTTCAACACCGGCGTTGAATATGCACAGACTATCAGCCACCAATGCTGGGGGAGACTTTACAGCCATCAGTCCTGTATGGATCCCTATATAGAAAGAGACCAAATTCATTCTGCTGCAGTCAACCACCAGCCCAAGGCACCACTGCTGCTACTCAGAGCAGCTTGAAAACTGGAAACACCCTGCTGGGCTGCTGCCCTGCTAGCAAGCAGACAGGAACTGAGCTGATCACTCAGAAGGGGCAAGGGAATGCGGCAGATGCACGTAGAGTTTCCTAATGACTTATTTAAATGGCTGAAGATTCCACCAGGTTTGCCGAAGAGGAGCACCTGACTGCAGCCCTACAGACCAGTTACAGAACGGTGCTCATGAAGCACCCCATGTATCTCATCTGCACCCCATTTGGCATCTGTCCTTGAGACCCTGTCAGGATGAACTGGAGCTTTTTCATGGAGACAGTCTCAAGAATTAGTTCACTGGATAGGAACCTGGTCTAAAAGGAGGGTCTCAGCTGCATTCACTGCAATGATTTGCTAACTACTGTTGACACTGGGATAATACCCAGGAATACTCATTAGTCCAGTAAAAAAATGTCATTCTACTCAGGTGAAAGAAAGCTATAAGGAGAGGTTGGAGAATGATTATTCTGGCTGACTTAACTCCAGGGCATTTCTGTAGCACAGAGCATCTCAGCACCTTCCTTCTGCCCACACCCAACACTAGATTTACGTTCCCCTCCCCCCAAACAGGTCTGTTGGGTAAATATAGGTGGAAGGAGAGATGAGGGATGGATGGGACACAGAGTAATTTGTGATCTGGAAGGTGTATCAAGCATGATAGAGAGCTGTTCTCATATACCTGCAAGGAGCTATATTACTGGTATCCATAGCTAACCTTCCCAAATCTGGGGCGTAAAGTCAAATGCATGTGGAGTTGACTTTTTTCCCCTAAGGGGATGATCACTCCTTGCTCTCCTGTTTAACTGGAGGTGTGTTCAGCACCACTGCTTTGATTTAAGTGCCTAAATACAGATTTGAGGGATTAACTTCAGAATTCCAAGTTTGGACATTTCATATTCAAAATGTAGGTAGTCCCCATTTCCAAGCCAGACCCTTTCCTGGGACAGGATGCTGCCCATGTGCCCTCCTCCCTCCATCGCTACCAGATGCAACCGCTCTGCCTACCCTGGATCTTGTCAGACAAATTCCCTATTCATGGTCATTATGATAGAGACCAGTCGCAGGAACTGAGCTACACAATATGGTGGCTGCAGAGGTGCCAGCAACGTATTAGCCCTGGTCCAGGGCCCCTGGAGTGCTCACCAGATCAGGCTGAGGGTGGGAAGCCTAGGTGAGAGCTGAATCCATAACATACCATGTGTTCTTCTCTATAAACAGTCCCACCAGTTCCACTCCCGTGCTTCCCTGCAACACAAATGAGTCCAGCTAAGAAATCATTTTAAGTCACTGACAGGGTTAGATATTGTGCGAGAGACAGGGCATGTTTAAAAGCAGGCCACAGCAGACACTAGAAAGTGTGCAATATGGAATAGTTCCACATTGGCCGTGAGCTGGGCAGGTAACGTAGAGACCCCTCTCCATTTTGCAACGGTGCCATTTCAGGCTGTCTGCAGCAGGGGACAGCTCCCAGTCACAGATCTGTAGGAATAACTCTGCCTGGTGGGGGAAATCAGCAGCAGCCTTGCATTCAGTGAAACAGTTCTGAGGGGCTTTTTGGATCTCTCAGAAGGTTTTGGCAGCAGTTCTCTAAGGATGCCTCAGGATCCCTTCCCACCTCCTCAGAATTACACTTTGTTAGTATCTGGCTCCCATCGGACAATTTACATGGTTACAGGAGCAAGGAACACAAAACTGTTTTTTCTCCTTGCAGTGGATTGCGACTAATGACTACTTGGTGGATTTAGGCTGAGTATCTGCACTAAAGGACACCACCTTCTAGCCGTGGAGTACAGCTGGCGTGAGAGCTATGGAAATTTTCCTGAAGCAAGCAGTTGTAAACAACTCATCCCACAAGCTTTTCCCTTGACCTGCAGGGATACATATCGCCAGCTCTATCCAGGAAAGCGGCATGCACATACTCACTCATTCGGTCTGCGTACCTACCCGAACTACAAGGGCAGCAGACCCTGCTTTGTCAGCTTTTAGCCAAATACGTTGGCATGTTTCATGGAGTCAGACTTTGATTTCTGCATTCACCACATTTCCCAAGAGACAGCCCTTCCTGAGTGGTTCCCTGTTATCCCAAGAAAATCAGCATCTCCCACTCAAATACTTTTTTTTTTTTTTTTTTGGGGGGGGTAGGGGAAGAGGGAGGAAGGGCAACCATTCCCCCAACTCTCGCCTTTCCAAACAGACTGTCACTTGGGAGTAGGCCGCCAATATCTTGCAAAGCTGAACACCCCAGGAGAGTTGTGGGACACAACATTGAGGTTCTTTAAGAGTGTGTCAGGCCTCACTTTTGGGCTGGGGAGATTGGAATGACTCCTTTGCTCATGCAGCCTCACCATTTTCACAAATACATAGAAGGACTGGCTCGTGAAACACACCACAGCAGTAGCTCCTCTCTGCCGACATGCCTTTCTCTGGCACCACCCAGGACCGTTGCAGCACCAGGAATCAAAGACTTGCTCCCAAAGAAGGGGGAAAAAGATTGTACAGTAAACTCTGGTTGATTCACCACTCTAGGAAATATGAATAACAGTGAAATATTGGGTATCATATCAGGATTTGATATTGGGGAGGGGTAAGGGGTGTGGCATCAGAACAACCGGGAATTAAACCAGCGTGGTGAATGATCTTCTCGATAAATTAACCAGTTTCCTCTATTTATCAGATTCCCCGATTCCCTCAGGCAGAGCACACACCCTTGTTGAAGACACAACACAGATTGCACAGGCTGTGACTATCTCCTTTGTGAACTCCAAAAAAACACAGTACGCTGACACTATAGATACCCAAGGCAGTAACAACAGCTCCTGCCCAAAACAGGATAAAGTTTGGATAAACTGGCATGCTTGTGAGCACGGCACAATGTCAGGGTACCCTGCACAGCATAGCAGCAGCTTTCACCCCTCCTAACATAGGGCACTGAAAGTTAATGCCTTAGGAAAGACTCATCCAAGAGCTGAGATCTCACCGAGCCAGGATGCCAGTCCCACCACCACCACCTCCGTGCTGCCCTGCCACACAGTCAAGTCCAGCTAAGAGAACAAAATGTGGGGAGAGCAAAAGAACTCACCTGTCCCACAGACAGAAAGACGGTGACAGATGCCCAACCGCAGGGTGCTGATGAGGTGGGAAGGGATCAGGGCTGGTCCAGGCAGGGGCAGGTTAGTCTAGGAGGGAGGAAAGGGCTGAAGAGGAAAAACAGGGATAGTTTGGGGAAGGGGTGGGGGTGAGTCTCAGTGAATATCCTATACACAGCAGGACCTGCTGTAAGTAAACCAGCAGCAAAAGGCAGGAGAATATTCCCTGCACTCAGCACAGGCACTGCCCACCCCACGGTGCAGAGCCTATCCCATCAATCAAGCCAGCCCACACCCCAGCAGACAGGAGGAGAGCTAGGGCCTGGAGTGCCTTAGCCAATTGAATCAGCAAACTCTCACAAGCGCAGCCAATCAGGAGCATAATGAAACACCCCCAGTAGGAAGCCAATTAGCAGCCAAACACTGAGCAGAAGCTGCGAGCCATGCAGACAAGTAACCAATTAAAGCTGTCCTCCAGGCCAAGTGTGAGAGGAAGAGAACTTGGGACAAGTGCATGAGTGATGTTAGCCCTCCTGTAGGAGCCTAGGCAGGAGAGGGGTGGAGACCTGGTGGCATTTCCCAGTGATGCAGGGGACACAAAATCATTTAGTGTTTGTACAGGCTGGTGAACATCCTAGCGGGCCAGTGCAAAACATCTCCCAGGTAACTGGAGAAGCATGTTGCACAGGGCTGTGCAGTCCCCCAGATGTGGGGGGTGGCTGGAGGCTCATTCTCACAAAGTTCTCTGAACCAGTAAGTTTAAGCATGTAGTTTGCCTCTGCCTTTAGCAGACTGTGTAAAGGCAGAGAAAAAATGTTCCATTTATTAAACCAGCTCACAGGCTTAGGATTGTTGAATGGCCAAGTACATCTGCTTGGCCTGGCACTGCACAGGTGGCTGCCCCAAACCCACAGGGTGTGTCTGCACAGCAAAACTAAGTGTGCTGGGTTGCATATGCCCCTGTGATATTTAAGGTAGCTAGCACAAGTGACAACAGCAGTGAGGGCACAAGTGAGGGCATGGTGGGACAGGGGTTATCAACCAAAGTCTGTACCCAAAGCTACATCAAGCTTGTGCTTTTGACGTTAGCCTGCACTGAGCCCAAGCTATCACATCTGCAGCGCTCCTGTTACCTGAGTTAGCCAGACTAAAGCTGGCTCAGGCGTGCCTACGTCTGCAGCATCATTCTGCTGTGCAGTCATCCCCTGAGAGACTGACTCCACACAGAGCCCAGCCGCCCTGATGTCCTCTAGCATACTAAGGAAAGGAGCTGAAGAGCTGCTATGCCTTCTGGAACCTGCACACACATGCACACATTCTTAAAGGAGAGAAGTCTGCCAGGATCATCCCAGCCCTTCCCTGATGTAGTGCTCATCACACACAATTACAAGAGAAATTCCTTATTCATAGAAGTTCATCTGCTTCCCCCTCCTAATTCCTGCCTCTTCCCTACCTGCAGAGAAGAGCCTTGTGGTGGCAGTTGCACCTGTACAGCTGGTTTGTTTCATGTTAGAACCAATCCTCTACCTGTAGCAAGGATGTGAGTGTCGTTTCAGTAGCAAGACACTAAAGTCCAGGCCTGTACTGTCACCAGCCCAGATTTACAAGCATGCTCAGATAATTTACAAATTAGCACAGAAAAATTATGGCCTGAATATTTGCATGCCAGCAAATCCCCCTGGGGAACTGAGTTTGTTCCTTAGCAATGAAGAGATAGGGTTAATACAGGCATTGGCAAGATTTTGTTGTACATGGTGAAAGATCTTGGTGTGGTATTTAAAGAAGTGGTTACAGCTGTAGCAGTCCTGTCCTGATCAGCAAAGATTAGGGATGGGAAAGCAATCTCAGCCATCTCTGGGTGGCAGGCACTAAACTATGAAAGGACAATATTCTTCATCCACTTGGCTGACACCAAATGACAGCATGGCTTTAAACAAAAGCAAATGGGTCCCATTTATCCCAGCCATACCTTCATGTCAGTGCAGTGATGCCTTTTACTGAGGAAGAACACAGAGGCTCCAGCAATAGCTCAGAACCCAGGTGTACCAAGTATTGTATAACACACAACAGATCTGGCTCTTGGTGCCCCAGGGAGCTTATATATCACACACGAGATCTGAGAGGCAGTTGAATGCATCAAAGGACCACATCATGAGTGGAAAAGCCTGCCCAGGAAGCAGGGTAAATTAGCTTATACTGAGCTCCCTGCTACTGTGACTAGACTGCTTTACCAGTACCCAAGCTAGCTTTGGACATCTATGCTACCTGCAGTGAGACCTATCCTAAAGTTAATGTTAGTTATGAAGGGACATGCCTCCATCCCCTATTTGATGGCCACTGGATGCATCTACACTTTCATTAATGCACTTTTGTAAATGCGCATTAAATTTAGTACCTCCACTGTAAGGTACTAGAAAAAGGCGCATTAGCTTATTTTAATGCACATTAGCAAAAGTGCACAGTTTTTTGTGATTCTTTAATGTGCATTAAAATAGCCTAATGTGCATTAAAGCACATGTGTAGATGCACTCATGTTCAACTCCTGCACCCTGCTAAAACATGTTCCTTCAGTTTTATCTAGAAAAAATTGGGGTGTAGCTACTTTGATGGGCCAAAACAGTGGTGTCCGACATTTCTGCCCCACGGGTCAGATGCGCAGTACTAGGTCCATCCACAGGCTGGAAGTGGTCCGTGGGCCCAATGCAGCTGCATGGGGCCAAGGCCTGATCCCTCTGTGCAGGACCAACCCACTAGGGCTGATCCAGCCATGTGGAGCTTGGAGCCCCATGGCCCAGGTAACATGACTCCACAGGCCAGATCTGGCCTGCAGGCTGGGGCTTGAGTACCCCTGGCTTGGAAAAACAAGATGGGCACAGAAAGACAACAGTAATAGCTTCCTTCTGGCACAGAAGTTCCCACAGGCACCTGTGAAAGCATTTCAGGGGGCTTTGAGGTGCTCTGAATTAGGAACTGCAGCACAGAAACCTAGCCAATAGTATTTAGAGTCACACATGGGCTAATAAAAGCCAGACAATTCTGTATAGCTTGAATCTTTCTCCACTGATAAAAACCTGAAGCCATACAAAACAGCTCACAAACACAGGCTTTCATGAAAAGGACAGCCAGATATGAACATCTCAGTTCTAAAGGACAGGTTACAGGGTGGCTTTTTTTTTCCTCTTGTGTCCCTTTGCTTCCCTTGTTTCCTACAATTGCTAGTTTCTGATTTCTATTTATTGTTGTCAATTTCTGACTTCTATCTTTTGTTATTAATGGTTTTCTTCTTCTTCTTCTTCTTCTTCCAGCTGCTGTTGTTTCCCCTCTTAAAGCCAAGTTACTTTTTTTAACAGTATGGCTTTCTCTTTTAGTTGTGGGACTATGACTTTTTAGGCACCCAGTAAAATTTTAAACAGCTTCCAATTATTGTTCACATTTTTCTGATTACTTTTTTTCCCCAAACTGATTTGTCTCGATAGTTTACAGCACCGCGGAATCAGCCCTTATAAAGGCTCAAGAATATGCATAGTAATGGCTTGATCTTCAGTCTTCATTTATTGTGTTTTTGTCCTCTTCTGTTGTTCTGTATCAATTTGTTGTCTCTTGTCTCATAACTAGACTATATCCATCTTTGGAGCAGAGGCCATCTGTTTATTCTCTGTTTTTGTACAATGAGGTTCTAGTCCAAGACTAGGGCTCCTGGGAGCTACTACAATAATCACTATCATCATCATCATGTAAACAGCATAAAGTATCGTAACAGCAACTGGCTCATAATAAAAAAAACTGTTCAAGACTATTTCCCTTTGGCCACAAGCAGTACTAGGAGATAACAGAACCAACATTCATTGGGATATGGTGACCATTAGGGACCAAACTATGATGCACAAACAACCAGACCTCACAGCTGTGAACAAGAAGGCCAGGACAGCACGGTTTACTGATGCTGCTGTCCTTGTAGACAAAGTACAGCATGCCATCAAAGAGAAGCTAAGAATGTACCACAGCCTGGCCACAGAAGTGAAGGAGCTCCTTCTCCTTGAGAAGACAAGGATAGTACCAAGTAGTGCTGTCATGAATGGATTTATAACAAAGTTGACTCTGAAGATCTTAAAAACACCAGAAATGGAAAAAAAACCCCACCACATTCACTGAAAATGCTGGGCTCTTTTTAGCATAGTGAGTTCCCTCTCTGTGAGCAAGAGAGCTCAACTGCTTGTGACTTGCCATGCTCTGTGCAAATATGGGTACATGCATGAAACTTGGGCATAGTGATAATAATATGTAAAGGTCTCCAAGCAGTGATCTGGGCCCCACTCCTGCAAACACTTAAAGTATTCAGGGGTTGGACCTATAGAGCTCCTCATGCATAAGGTTAGTCATATGAGTAAGGGATTGCAGTACTGGGTCTTCTCCTTTAGTACGCAGTAACTTCTGTTTATGAAGTGGTTATTTGGTGTCCTCAGACTGTCAGTTTCAATCCTTCTGATGGCCTCATGAGACAGGTGTGCACATCATGAACCCTAACCACTCCAAGTTAGGGTCAGCCACTGTGCACCTGGGACAAAGGCACAGGAGGAGGGAACACTCCACTCAGTCCTCAGACCACTGAACATGGGCCACAGATGGCATTAGAAATAGTCCAATAAAGCCTGTAAAAATTCCATACTTCCAATCCACACATGCCCTGTGGCACATCAGCAAATGCTCCAAAAACAAGATGTATTCTCCTGGCTGCTTTCAGCCACAAGGGTGAATAACAGTTTGGCACTTCTACAGGGCTTTTTGAGCAGTGTGGGGTATGCTGAGGGGCAGAGGGGCACTGCTAACCTGGCAGCCAGCTCTCTGCTATCAGGCTACAGCTTGTGCCAAGCCATTCAGCTCAAGTTACTGAGGAGAGCCCATATCCCATCACTAGAACTCCTCTCCTCTTAACTTTCCTCCTCCTTTCCCTATCCTTTGTAGTGAAATTACTTTATTCCTTTCTGTTTAGTACTCCTGCTCCCTACAAGTCCATTTATAGCATATGACAAAGTAGGCTGCCACCTACAGCCTTTTTTAATGAGTTTTAGTCTCTAAAAGTGCCACCCTGTCCTGCCTTCTGCCTGGCTTCAGACTACCATGGCTAACTACCTCTCTTATTCCTTGCAGAGAATATCCAGACCAAACTAACACCCTGCTGACCCATACACACACACCAGAGCCCCCAGCTATTTTACAAACACACATACTCTGGAGCTCCCTGCCCTTTTATATAAAGGCAAAAACAAGGTCCCAACCCTCTTGATCATGTATGCATAGATGTGTGCACAGGCACATGACCACTGTCCAACTCCCCCTGGTTCTCCAGCTTTTTCACAAAATCCCCTAAAACCCCATTCCATTTTACACACACACATACTAGAACCTCCTGCCCTTTGATGCACACATGCCAGAACTGCCAGATCTTTTATACATCTCCCAGATTCCCCATTTTTTTCATATATGCAAACCTAAGAGCTCCAGTGTGCACATACATACATGCTTTGCAGAACCCGCTGCCCTTTTACACATACCACCCCAGTGGCTTCTAACTTCTGTGTCTTGTGGATGCAAAGTCTAAAAACCTGTAATGTTTCAAAAGGTTGCTATAATCCAACATTTTAAGCTTTGCAAAACATTTACTTTGCTGAAGAGACTGGAAATTCTCAAGTTAAGCCTCTTAAGGACTAAAATAAATGTGCACAGAAAGGAAAAAATTGAGGAGATGCAAGAACCAATAAAGTTGGGGGGGGGGCGGTCAACTTCTTTCTTTAAACTTTCCCACTGTGACAGGAATGAAGGATAATGCCTACCTCTGACACAAAGCTCCCTGCTGCTGCCTCCCTGCTATCAGGCCTACAAAAGCTGAGCTGCAGCTTTGAAGAGCCTTTCCCAAAGTCAGCATTAAGCTGCAGCAGCTGTGATGTGAGAGAGGCGCAGTACCTTAGCCATGTTAATGTATTACAAATCTAAATATACCCCTGGCGGAGCATGAGCACACAGCAACAGGGCACAAAGCCACATCCTAGGAAAAGTGCACTTGAATTTGTTTTGAAGTGAAATGAAAATAGCTCCACTTACCTTCCTTTGAAGACATGACATTCTGCCTTCCTGGTATGCCTCACCAACACTCCCTGCTACAAGACTCTGGGACTATACCATATCTCCCAGCTGCAATCAGCATTACCTTGGCTTCAAGGCTACCTTCTACACTTGCCTAACAGAGTGCGTGTAGAGACATGTTATCCCACACACAGCAGAAGAATATAGTTAAATTAGAAAGTCAAGTATTCAAAAACTGAGAGATGCCAGAATTCAACTTGCATGTGCCATCTTACTTTGGACCCCTTGTATGTACATAACCTGATACTGACTGTCTTTAATTGCATGATCATAGTCCTAGTTGCAACAGAAGCCTACTTAATTCAGTATTCTGCATGTTCTGGAGGTGCTCCCGGAATAGACAGCTCTTCTGTGTCCTTTTTTCTCCTCCTCGTGTCATCTGTGCTCCCAGGCCTAATTTCCTGACCACTCTCCCAGGTCTGAAGAGAGAATTGTTAATTTCCTCATAAGCTCTTCTCTGTTACTTATCAAGTTATCATCTGATGCTTTGCCAATGTGAACTTATGTTCATAACATGCCTGTGAGGTGATGGGAGTTATCCCCCACTTTTTTTTTACAGAGTGTAACTTTTCAGTGCATTATATGGTAGGGCTAGATTTAGGAGAGAATTAACTGCTGAGGATCCCTTCCCTTGCTATGTATCAGATGACAAGCTGGAAGCAGAGACATATGAAAATAAGCACATACTGGCTGCAAGAAAATGAGGAACAGTACTAACCTCCCAAAGGAGTGGCCCAGTGTTTACATCAATTCAAGCATGGGCTTGCTAGAGAAAGTCACAGTCTTCAGGAAACATCTGTCATTCCTCCCAGGTCCCTTCTGTAACACCATGAGGGAAATAAAAAAGTAATGTATCTTTAAAAATCTGTTTCTAATCCAAGACCACAAGCACTGCAATGGTTTAATTCTGATGATAATAAAGTGCCTGCCTATTGTCTCTACAAGGCAGAGTTAAGGTAATCTGACTGCCATTGCTCCACGTTTCCATATTTGTTTGAATTTCTTTTAAGGTGAGATTTAAGATCAAAGAATCATAGGGTTGCAAGGGACCTCAAAAATGATCTAATCCCCACTTTAACTCTCTGTGGGTGCATCTACATGAGACACTTTATTGTGCAGTTGAGCAAATTACTGTACAGTAAGCATCACCACCTATATGTGCAGACGCTTATTGTGCAGTAATTTGCTCTGCTCAGCAGTTAATGCAAATAGTGCCAAGTAATTACTGTGCAGTATGGCACATGTAAACAGCCAACCGGAAGCAAATTTTCTTCTGGTCAACTGGGAAGCAGGGGGCAGGAGATTGCTCCTTGCTGCTGGGGCAGTCTCCACCCGGGTTCCAGTGGCGGAGCCCACCCAGGCAGCAGGCACCTCCCAGGGGCAGGGAGCAATCTCTTAGCCCCTACCAGGAGACAGCTTTCTCTTGGCCCTGTGTTCCCTGCCAGCCCAAGCTAGCACCTGGGCTCTCCGGATGGCTTCTATTTGGAGCAAACCTGCTCTCAAATGCAAGCACATGTAGATGCCTGCCCAGGGTGGATTTACTCCAGAATAAATTACTCTGGAGTAAACCATCCTGCAGCAATTGCACATATGCCGGTGTGTATGTCATTTGATCTGGGGAAAATTCCAGTGCTTCTGTAACATATGTAATGCTTACACATTAGGTATCCACTACATTGATACATACCTTCAACTAGGGTCCCTCTCCACTTAGTTCTCAACAGCAGTACAGACAGCTTTCATTTACAATAGCGTAGAACAGGAAAAGGCAACCCCGGCACCCATGCTGAGCATGGCACACAAGGCCATGTTCCTCGGCATGCGTTGGGGCTGGGGAGGCAGCAGCTGTTTGCAGCCTCCTGGCTGCAGCCGGCCCCAGCTCTGGGTAGCTCAGAGGTGGGCAAAATCCGGCCCACAAGGCCATTCTATCTGGCCTATGGGGCCCTGAAAAAATTTAGAAAATGAATATTTATCTGTCTTTGGTTCCTGTCAAAAATGACAGGAACAGATACAGTAGGACCTAGGGAAAGCCCTGGCCGGCTCCAAAAGCAAAGCCACGGAGCCCGGGCCGCTCCCATGGAAGCCCTGCTGCAAGCAGCCTGGGCTCTGCGGTTATCAGCAGCTACCCAAAACCTGGACCAGGTGCAAGCATTTGCTGCCTCCCAGACCTGGTCCTGGGCTCCGGGGAGGCAGCACATACCGGCAATTCTCCCTACTGTGCTGCCCTCGCCGCTTCGTCAGAGCATCGTTGGAACCCGGCGGGGCAGAGCACAGCGAACTCCCAGCTGCCCTGCCACACGTCCCCTGCAGGTAGGGGCAGCAGTGAGGGGCACAACCCTGCGTGCTAATCACGCTGCTCCCGTGCACACAGGGAACGTGTGGCAGGGCAGCGGGGAGTTTGGAGCCGGCAGCTTTCTGCGCCCCCCGCTGTGCTCTGCCCCGCCGGGTTCCAACGAAGCGGCGAGGGCAGCACAGCGGGGAGCATTTCTGGTATGTGCTGCCTGCCCGGCGCCGGGGCGGAGAGGCAGCAGATGATTGCAGCTGGCCCAGGTTCAGGGGGCAGCAGGACTGGGGGGCAAGGGGCACAAGCAGGGTATCCTGCCATGCACCCCCTGCCCTCATTTTGTTTTTCTGGTATGCCAGCACTCCGGCACCTTCCAGGGTAGGCACTGTGGGGTTTTTCGGCACTCTGGCCTACCCCTGGCATAGAATGTAGTCTGAAGGCTTGTTGGCTATGCCCTAGCGAAGCAGACAGAACTGCCCATTCCATAGTTTTCTCTGCATACAGTTAGTAACCAGCAGGGGAGACTTGTATCAGTCTCTCCACATGTTGGTCACAATCAGGAATTACCACACTTTGATCATCTTTGATATGTGGACTCCTCTGCTTTGGGTGAACACATTTCCTGTGCATTTCCCAGTATTCTGCTGTGCTGGCACTGGTTGGATGAAAAGAGCAGGTTGGTCCCCCTTGAATCATTCAGCAGCTTCTGCTTGATCCTCCTCTGAGCCCCTCCTACTGCCAGATGCCATTTCTTGTGAAGGCAGTTGAGTGGAGTTCTGTGTGATTAAACTTTTCTCCCTTTATTTTAGATCAGGCTTATTCTTCTGCAACAAAGTATAGGGCCCTGAATGCCTGCTTGTGACATCAGATATGCTTCTGAAGTTAAAGGAAAGAAGATGGAGCAGATGTAAACTCCTCTGAATGAAAGCTCTTGTTTCCATCCACTCCTTGCTGCTGCAGAGAACAAAGGAAGAGAAGTGCATGGAGCACATGATGTCACCACAGAGTCGCATCCAAACAATCTGTTTTCCTGAAGGTGTGGGCTGTTTAATGTTTAGTAACAGAATAATGACACAGAAAGAGAAGGTCCCAGTGCTGTTAAAGTGGAAGGGAGACTCTTCCCTCCTGCCATGAACCTCATCTGGTCACTGCTGGGCTGAGCCTCCCTCTGTCTTGTTCACCACCAGCTCCCATATTTTATTCATTTACATTTTTAATATTTCATCTTTTCATGGTCCTCACAGTACAAATCCAGAGCCAAGTGGAAGTGCAGCATGTGAGGCTCTCAGCCAGAGCAGCCTTTGTGGGGGAGACGGTGGTTATGAAGCATTGCTTGTACTGCTGGTTATCAGCACAATCAAACAAGCAGATTCCTTGTTAGCTCAGTGGCAGACAAGGTTCTTTGGGTGAATCTGATATCTTTTATTAGACCAACTTAAATAGTTGGAAAATAAATTTTAAGCAAGCTTTTGGGTTCAAAAACCCTTCATCAGGCTGAGAAAGTTTCAGCAGTTGGCGTGTGCTCTTTCTGGATGGAATGAAAAGTAAAGAAGCCAGAAGCTGGGCTGATATGCATACAAGATAGGCAATCAGTGAAGATGTAGACTGCGGAGTCAATGGGTCAGAGACACCCAGCCTGTCTCTTACCCACTGACTCTTCAGTCTACATCTTCACTGACTGCCTATCTTGTATGCATATCAGCCCAGCTTCTGGCTTCTTTACTTTTCATTCCATCCAGGACAAACACATGCCAACTGCTGAAACTTCCTCAGCCTGACGAAGGGTTTTTGAGCCCAAAAGCTTGCTTAAAATTTTTTTTCCAACTATTTAAGTTGGTCTAATAAAAGATATCAGATTCACCCAAAGAACTTTGTCTGCCTATGTCTTTAGACCCACACAGCTACAACCTACACCCTTGTTAGCTCAGTGTCAGTTAAGCTGCTGCCAGATCTTGGATCTCACGCTAGTTGCGGTTCTTCGTTGCTACCAGCACTTTCTTTTCCTGTCAGAGTTGTCTTCTAACCCTGGTCATATAACTTTAAAATCACCCCTTTAGTGTAGTTAATAAGTTAACATTCATGCATATATTGTTCCAGAAGTGCTAAAGCATCTCTGTTCTTATGTTTCCTCCATGGTTTCAGCACTTGCTGGCAAATGGGTCTATCTCCGCCTTGTAGTACACACATGCTCCCAAGGGCCCTCTTCTGGGAGGTGGGAGATATGAGGTTAAAACCCTGCAGGCTGACAAAGACCAAACCTCCCACTTTCTGGGAGTGTACTTTAATCACTAGGCCATCATACTTCATATTAGCCCTATCCTGACAGTTGGCTTTGGGTTCCAGATCCTGAGTGGATAGAAGCAGGTAAGCTATGGAAAAGGGCAGAAGTTCAGATACTCATGCCCCTGTGCTCAATGTTTCCTATTCACTAAATCTAGAAAGCTGTCTGCTCAGCATCTGAGCTTTCTGGATCTCCTTCCAGAGGCACCCAATTCTTCCCAGCACCTCTGTAGGATGTCTGGGAATCTAACTACTTCCTGGGGTCGGTCACTTCCAGGTTAGGTGCCTCATTTTTGGCCAGGCTGGAATCTAAGTTAGAGAAACCTAGATTTTGTCCTATACTTCTGGTGAAAACACCATGAAACCCTTTTGACACCCTACAGGATTAGAGGAATTCACTAAATATACGAGAGATACTAAAGAACTGGTAACTGACAATTATTAGTAAACATAATAGGAAATCTTAGTAAGCTTTAAGGTAAATGCTATTGAAATCTTTAATTGCTGGCTACTTACCTTTTACAAGTGGCTTGAGAGGGCACCTTCTCTGGGGGTCATTTTCTTATGGAGAGAAATTCCTTTCTCTTTCTACTACCCATCGTGTTTTCCAGCCTCCTTTCTCTCCACTGAGGAGGCAAATTAAGCATGCTAGAACCATTAACAACCAGAAGAGCAGACACCATTGTTTCCTGTATCTGTTTCTATATGATTATGTCAATAATTTGCACATTCTGTACCTGTGACAAAATGGTGTATAGGTCTTGAAAGGATAATGGTGCTGGACAAAAAAAGCCATTTCAACACAGTGGAAGTGGCATTTTCAAGTACAGTCCATGGCTCCACTAGCCATTGGGATAACCATTTGTGCTCAGGTAGGTTGTTTTCTACAGTGGAAACACTGATGCTGCCTCTGCACAGTGATTCAGGCAAGCTAACTAGCCTCATTGTGTCATAAGGCTAATTAGCCTGCCCATACAAAGCAGGCTATGTTGTTTCTGATATAGGAGGGAGTTCATCTAAACCAGTGCAGCATGCTCAAGAGCACCATTGTTGGGCATGCTAAGTATACCAAAAAGACATAGTTGAAGCTTAACAGAATCCCACCTGACTGGCTTGTGATATTGTAGAGGGATAAGTCTGAGGGGTAGAAGAGGATTTCTCCACACAGTCAGACGGCCATGTGAGGTGGCAGTAACCACAGCATTTCTCACCATCCCCTGTAGGGTCTGGTGTGATCGCTGCTTCCCTAATGTCTTTGTACAAGGCTACTCCTCAGCTATTCTCAATGCAACAGGAGGGCGCTGGGTAAAAATATACATAGAAATATGTGGTTCATTATGCTTATTGGCCTCCCCTACAGGAGGGAGATGAGGTCACAGTAGCATATGATGCACACATCTTCTGGAAATCCATTAATGAATAAAATGAAAGACTGAAGGACAAATCCTGCTAGTACTGAGACCAACAGCAAAACTCCAATTGATTTAAATGGGGGCAGGTGTGTACCCTGCAGTAAACTATCAAAGGACAACCAAGGGTAGCAAGATTCAGGGTTCAGCCAGCTTCAGTTTTAAAGGATACGCTTGGCTGTTTCCCCTCTAAAGAAGGTCTGTTCCCTGACGATTGGCTTATTTTCTGGTTGGAAATGGTGACCTGTGGGTTTTCCTTCAGAGTACCCCCCACACTGAAGAAAATGTTAACATGCCCACTGCAGTTAGTGGGTCAGGGGGGTTACTTGAGGATGGGCTGCAAGCAAAGGATCCAGGTGGAAATTTGTGGTTTGAGAGGGTTGCCCCTGACTTTTGTTCCTTATCCAGTGACAGCAAAGTTAGATGTCATTTGGGTTAGCTTCTTCTGGGCCTGAATGCTGCAGATAGACCTTTTTCACTGTCTTATTTCTCTTTAGTCCCGTTCCCTGTAGAGTCCTTCTATTTTAGAAATCAACCAGGCTATTGCCAAGGCAAATAGAGAATGTTCAAATAAAAAGCATAAAAATAAGCACTTGACAATGTCCCTTCAAGGCCTTGCTTGTATATTTTAAAGGATAAGTATAAAACATGAATTCCCAAATGAAAGCAGTTCATGTTTCATTTCATCTGGGCTACTCTCCAAGCAGACACACACACAAGTGAAAAAGTCAATTCCTCAATCCAGTCCTGTTTTCCAAGTTAATATTCTCAAACTTCCCAGTTTATAAAACCACAGCAAACATCACATAAAGAACCAAGATCAGGATTTCAGGTCAGATGGAGCCATGGACAAATGACAAAATCATTCGCTGTTTTTGGAAGTGTTTGATTCTGAAATATTTACATCATTAACTGGAAACAGAATTTCACTCATAAACATCTGTTATTTGTGTCAGTTTGGTCTAAAAGCCTTTAAAACAAGGTGCTCTGTGTGGCCATATGAGAGAATAACTGGGTATAACCTAAGAAAATCTGTACAAAAAAATTGGAGACGAATATTTTATTTGCCAAGAAACGCAGTTTCAAATTGTTCTGGCCAAAAAAAAGGTGGGGGAGTTTTGAAATAGTCAAAACATTTTGTATGAATTAAATATTTTTACTTTTCCTTTCAAAATATTTCCGTTTAAAAATTTGCTTGGTTTAATTTAAAAAAACACTCCAAAGACCCTAAAACTAAACAAAATTATGTTGTGTTTTCATTTGGTGAGAAAAAAAGTTAAATTTCTATTTTGAGTTATTCCAAAAAGAATTCCCTCCCCCTTTTTCTGGCATTGGAACAAAAATATCAGTTATGTAAATAGCCCTAATCCTGAAGCCATAAACCTGCATAGCACACCATGAAGTTCTGTTGAAAAATTAAACTTCTCTTACAAGCCTTTTCTGATTTTTTTTCAGATCTCTACAGGATGAGTGAAATGGTTCAGGTTCCAGATTCCCCTCTCCCCCAGGCCCTTCACCAAATGGCACACTCCAGCAGAAAGCTATTCATATTTTAAATGAATGTGCAGTCTGAGAGAAAAGATATACTGCACATAGCTTCCTGTCCATTAGTGGGATACAGATGTGGCCTCCATGCATTGTTCTGTGTCTATTTTTGTTAGTGGGTAATGAGCTCTCTGTCCCTGACAGTACTTGCACATACATTTTGACTCCAGATACATTTCACCTCTATGCTGAAAGTGCTGCCTGACCCTGAAGAGGGGCTGGGCTGCAATGGCTGGCTGGCAGAACCTGCACCTGCGGTTGGCTGGCCTAGCAAATAAACCCTGCATAGTTTCCTTTTGTCATGAGCTGCTGGTGTTCAGGCCCAAAGTCTGAATTAGGAAGAATAGGAAGGCAAGCATTTGGCGTCAAGAGGTTTTTTTACACTGATATAGCCCCAGGCAAGAACCAAAAGTGCCTTGCAAATCAAAGGACACATTCTGAGCTAAGGGAAATCAGCAGGGATCTACCAATTTCTTAGTGCTTCAGTGACTTACATCAACTAAAGTAGTGATTGTACCAACTATCACTATGGAGAGGAACTAGATCAGGGTGGGCAAAATATGGCCCATGGGCCAGATCCAGCCACCAAGGGGTTTTATCTGACCCACAGTGGGTCCCTCAGCCCTGCCTGGCCCAGGTGCAGGGGGCTGCCTGGTCTATGGTGCATGTGGCCAGTTACACCACCCCCAGATGCAGTGGGACTGGTGATGCGCAGAGACCAGACTCTCTTCCCAGCAGCCCCCACAGCGGTAGCTCCTTCCAGCCGCTACTGCCAGTCTCAGCCACTGCCACCAGACCCAGCCCTGCTGCTTGGGCACCCTGGCCCATCTGCCTTGCACCCATCACCGGAGGCACTGGGCATGTTCAGCTGGGCAGATGGGATGGGGCCATGGGTGGGTGGAGGGTGCAGCAGAATGGGCAGGCGGGCCCAGGACCGGGGATGGGATTGGGGTTACAGGCTGGTGACAGCATGGGACCAGGGCCCGGGCCAGAGCCACGATCTGCTGCCCACACATCCCTACAATGGGTGCCGGTGCCGTGAGCATGGGCATGTGGGGAGTGGATTGTAGCTGTCCTAGGCCCCGGCCACACGCTATCACTGCCCCATGATCCCGATCCCAGCCCCAGCCCTGCCCACCCATCCTGCTCCCAGATGCCACTCTCCACCTACCCATGACCCATCTCATCCACCTGGCTGAGCACGCCCTACTCACACAGGTCCTGGGCCGGTCTCCATAAAGACCCTAGGATCATTGGGCAGTAACAACATGGGGCCAGACCCTGGGGCACTTAGGGTTTTTGTGAGCTGTTGCGGGCCAGGGCAGAGGGGAAAGTGCTGGTCTGACCCACAACAGCTCACCAAAACTCCCTAAGTGGCCCTCCAGCCCAAATAATTGCCCACTCCTGCACTAGATGCTTCTTAATGAACACTAGCCTGGTTTTTGTCATGCCTGCCCCAATACTTCTCCAAAACTAAACTAACCCATTTAAAATCACTGTCTCCATGTTATTCTGTAAGAGTGGAGTTTTTCTAGAAGGGATGAGGTAGTAGGAAAAGGCACCAGGGAAACAGTGTGACTTCCTTTATTTGAATGTTTTCTAGCTCCCAATAATTCCTGGGTAGCTTTGCTTGGAGAATTGGCAACATTTTCCCTGAAGTTCCTGGTAAGCTCCTGTGACCTTTGTCTCATTTTGGTAGGCTTGCGTGCGTTAACTATGGGATTCACAAAAGTGTACAGGCCAGATCCTTACCTGGCAGGAAGCAGTGTGGTTCCTGTGAAGAACTGTTTTCTGGCAGGAAGGGAAGCGGTCATGCTTGGAACAGCTCCAGGGCCTCCAGTGGTGGCTTTCCTCTTAAGTTTCTGTGGTAACATAGACGGGACTTAAGTTCCAAAACTGCTCAGTCCATGTCAGAAGATCTTTACCATGAGGTCCCTCCTGAAGCTAATCTTTAGACTTTATAGTCTAAGATCCATATGTTGGTTTGCATGAGAACAGCAGGAAAGTGGCAGTTGAAGCAGGCTCTACAGAACTGCTGACCCAAGCAGCTGTTCCTACTGCATAAAGCTTTCTTCAGCTTGTGAACCTGTTTGGCTCTTTTGCTTTCAGAAAGATGGTAGCACTATCAGGACATTGCACCATGTTCCTGAGATTACAGCTGGGCTCAAGGAATATAAATATTTAACTAGACCAGAGCAGGCATGTCAGGTTGTGTTTGCTTTTAGCAGAAGAAGAGATAGGAAGGGGAAAGGATGTGAGGAGGTAAAAAGAGTCACACATTGCATGTTCCTGAAGGGATGACTCTCAATGAGATAATGCTACACAGCAGTTCTGTGTTAACGTAGCCCAACTGCCAGCCATTCATGCAAGGCGCTTAGCCTCTCCAGTGCTCCTCACCCCATGTGAAGAATCTGTTCAGGGTGGCTTTAATCTCCTTTGAACACTAGGGCTGCTGGACAGCAAGATTTGGGAGTGGCATGAAGGAGATGCTCCCAGCTGAGAGATGAAATGATGAGTGAGAAACTGGGCTGTGGCAGCAGAGGCCCTTGTGGCCAGGTCCATGGCTGTACTCTGTGTGCTGCTCCCCCCAGGCCCACAGCACACAATCTAAGAGTGCTGTGGCATGGAGACACTCCCGCTGGTGGGCCAACATTTAAGCAGTCGGCAGCGAGAAGAGGAGGGTCCAGGACTAGGTGGTAGCATGCCCATGGCAATCATCCTGAGGAATGCAGTCTGGCAGAACTAGAATCAGCTGCTCCAGGGGGTATGATGCTGCCTGAACTCAGTTCTCCATCACCTTGCCCCTGGGACAGTTCCTTAGCCAAGGGAAAAGTGGGTACCAAAGCTGCCCTTCTGTTCAGACAGCTTGCTGAGATACTCAAGAGACCATGCCAATCTGGTCTATGCACTCAGTGGCACCATGTTAACAGTTGTATGCCCTGCCCAGATTGGTGCCATGCTGTAGCCACATACCCCCATTGCAGTTAATCTGTTTTGTTTTAGGGGTCAGCTGGGTGACACCACACTCCAGGACAGTGGGAAAGAG